GCCAAACGGTCAAAACGCGATGTCCGCCTAATGCTACCGGCCTTGTCCCAACTGGGCCCGCGAGGCCTTCACAAATAACGACTGCCGAACCGCCCCCGAGGCCCTTGGGTTGCGGCGCGTATACGGGAAGACCCCGCGGCCGATGTATGGTCGAGGTACTGGTGGTTTAAAAAAAAGTTGTGTTTTTTATCTAGGAAGATTTTCATGCCCAGCCAGTCCTGCCCGGATTCGATTCAGCATTCTACAGCTTTCGGGACTTTAGTTTCTGTGCTTCCGCAGACGGACAGACTTAACTTCAAGTTAGCACTCGTAGGTGTTCGACTTTTAAGTCCGTACCACATAGAGTAGGTGACTGTTCATCCGCGCGTGTATTAGAAGAGTACGTACGATCGATTCCACCTCTTACAGGTCGGAAATTCTGAATTGCTTATGCTATGGCACGAGCCATCGCAGATGGGAACGACTCTAAACGAGGCACCGGTTCGGAGGTTTCTTGGATGTGTGGAAGAAAGGGTTGAACCTGTTTTTTTTTTTTTTTTTTTTTTTTTGAAACATCGCTGCCGGGCGTAGGAGGGATGCTGGTAAGAGCAGACAAAAGGGTTGAACCTGTTTGTTTTCGTTTTCGTTTGTACATCTTCTCATTGTCTACTCACGTGATTGTCTTCTTGACTTCACTTGTTTAGTCTACTCAAGTGTTTACTTGCTTAGTCCACTCAAGTGAGATTTGTCTTCTTGACTTTACTTACTTATGACTTGTGATTTTCCCTAATACTGCCCGGCCGGGCACCAGGGCAAGACGCCCGAGGTACCCGGGTGTGAAAAGGACCCCAATTCCGGGCTCATTTCTTTTTTAACGAGTAGGATTTCAAGGGGTGCAGAGGGGAGGTATAAATTGGTTTTAAAGGGGCTAAACTTTGCTAAAGGGGTTTAAAGGGGGGTGCCTTCTTGTGATTCTGTTATTTCATTTTTTTATCTCCGATTCCGTGAGGAATTCTAATGTGACCCTCAGCCAAAGGTCGTTTGCATTGCAATTCTACCCAACATAGTTTTTTCCTTTTTTTTTTTTTTTTTTTTTTTTTTTTTTTTTTTTTTTTTTTTTTGGGTTGTGCTGGTGCTGCCTGGAACCCTGCGCGGGGGTCATGCCCGGGTGGGCACCCGCGCGGGTACCCGGGCATAAGTTGGGTGCCCGGCGCCCGGAAAAAAAGCCTTGTTTTTTATTTACTTATTTTCTTACTACCACTTCCTTTCCCGCTGTTGGGAAAATGGGAAAATACTAAAATAGTAAACCATTGCATACTCGGAAACATTTGGAGGCTGAGGCCGACCGTGGCCGCCGTTGCCGAATGTCATGGACAGCCATCGTTTCGTTTCGGCCTCCAAAACAATCGGGCACCCCACAATCTGAAAACGACGGGCACCCCACAATGTGAAAGCCAGGCCCAGGTACTAGTGGTGGTGTAAGCAAATCTATGTTCTTCTTCAGTCTGACCTCTCACTACCTTCCTACCTCAACGCCTAAACCTTTTATTATTTATATTATATATATAAAAACAAAATGCCTTTTTCATTATTAAAAAAAAAAAAAAAAAGCCAGAGCACCATCACTAGGGGGGGTGATACGACCAGCCTCCCCTAGTCCACGTTCTCCTAAGCCTATACAGGGGGTTTTCGCAAACTTAAGCTACCTCTGTTAAATTGTTAATCAAGGGGGTGCATGTTGCGCCCCCCCCCCCCTAATTCCCCGTGGTCAGACCATCAGAGAGTAGAGTGCGGTCAACTCATGGGGGGGGGGGGGGGGG